TCAAAAAAAAAAAAAAAAAAGTAATGATATAACCATAAAAATGTTTGTGGTCACAAGAATGATCATTGCTTAGTCAGATATTATGGCACATGCCTGTAGTCCCAGCACTTGGGAAACGGAGGTAGGATGATCTTGAGTTCAGAGACTGTGTGGGCTACATGGTGAGACCCTATCTCAAAACAAACAAAATGAAATCATTGTTTCTAGCAACGGGAACCAATTTAAAAATTTGTTAGAAAAAGGATATTATTCATGTGTTTCTAAAACAAGGAAAAATCACAAAAATATTTTCCATCTTTTAATTATAATGAAAGAAATCATACATTTCATATGGAGACATATTACAGATGCTATCTTAACTAATGTAAAGGACAGATTGTTGCTCTTTAAATCCAGAGAAGTTGTTAACTCTCTGAATGATAAGCAGTTTAACCTATGAGAATGATTCCTGTCTATTGTCCTGCAATTGACGTAATTTAAGCCCAGACATTCGGCCATTACACATGCACATCCGTTCAATACTCTTCTCTAGTGCTCAAGCACTGCCTATTTTATGAATTATTCATGTCCTAGAATGTGGATACTTTATCACTTCAATTATTATTTTTTAAAAACTGATTAACATAGGAGGCCACTCATTTTTACACAGCCTCCCATAACACATTAAATAGCAAATCTAAAAATATACTCTGCTAGACTCTGTACGCACATTTATTAAAAACCCATAAAGCCATATATTTAATAGTTCAAATTCCTCTGTCTTTTTGGAATTTTAAATTTTTCTTTAAGCAGTGAATTTTTCTTTTCAAATCTACTTGTTTACTTTTTAAATTAAAAAAAACTTGTCTGGTTTATGCACAGAACACTATGATAAAAAACAAAATATAATGGTGAAAGATTAATCCATGTTATAGGCATTAAGACATACAAAAACCAAATGCAGTTGGTGATATTTGGCTCATTCTTTGGTCAAAATACAACTACAAACTTTTGAGATGTGTGCGGAAAATAATTTTTTAAATTTTAAAATACATTACTATCAGTATTTTATTATTTCTGAATTTTTTGGCTTGTAATAAGGGTACTATAATTAAACAGATAAAACAAACAAGACAAAACATTACTTGTTAATAAATCAAAGCAAAGAGCATATGGGTGCTGCTGGTGCTACTTTTAGCTGTAGTATTTTCCAGTAAAACACAGGATACATAATCACATTATATTGTAATAATGTACTAATAAAAATTTTAAAACATATTTTAACAATTTTTATAAATTGTCAATTGTTGAGTTTTTTGTTTGTTTGTTGTTTATTTGTTTTGATACTGAGAAATGAACCCGGGACCTTTGCTCTGAACTGCATCCTAGCCCTTTTATAAAATTTTTAATTGTAAGCAGGCACTTTCTGTCTCTAAATTATCCAAGTTGGACTTGAAATTGTCGTCCTTCAACCTGAGCCTCCCAGAGATATGGGATTACAGACGTGCACCAACAGACCTTCGAACTGGACATTTTTTCTGACCAATTCACATATAAGTTGTAACTAAAATCTGATATGTAAACATGCATACAAACAATTAACCTCAATAATAAAATCATATTCAAAATACAAATTTAATATGAAAACTCTCTCTTACCATGGAAACTTGCTTAGCCAAAAGACAGGCTGTCATCAGATGCTAGAACCCTAGGAAAAGTGATGCAGCCTCAGGCAAACTTCAGCCGCTCCCCAGCTAGTTTGGACAGCAGGGATCCACAGTGGAAGACCTGCATGTCAGTGCATCCTTTCAGGTTCCCTTTGTGCTACTTCATCCCTTGGAACTCCTGGAATTGTCTCTGTGACAAATTAACAATACTCCGGTCCTTGCCACGGCATCTCTTTTAGAGGCCCCTACTCAACATCAATTGCCAAAATAACAGGAATTTAAAATATTTTATATTGTGCTGTCATTTTCATTTTACAATAAGGAATGTATGCTGTTAGAAATGAATGCTGAGGTGATAAACCTTCTCTTAATCCAAATATCTCCCATAGAAGTAAAAGTTTTTATGAAATTTTTGAGGATGAAACTCAATGATGATGTTAGGCTCATGTTAATGGAGATGAAAGACTACGATTAATATATTAACAACATTTGATTTTTACTTTTATAACTCTCAGAAACAACCTCATTTTTAAAAATTTTCTACTTCAACTCCAGCCTTAGTTTTTCTTAAACATAGTTTAAATATTTATCCTATATTTTTAGTATAACAGTTTAGAATTTTTCTAAGTAAGTGCTTTATCAAAATAGGCTTTAACTAGTAAAAGTAAAGTTCTATTATTTAAAGTCAATTATATGCCAGAGAAATTGAAAACGGGGTAAGAGTTTTTCTAATATATTGATAAAACCAACTTGAGTTTCAATATTTTCAGATATTTACTTTTATTAGCATATACATGCAGAAGAGAAAATTTAATAAAAATATCTGGTGGACAAGTTTTAATCAAAACTCAGAGAAAGAACTACAGGAAATAAATTAAGAGTTCAGTAAAGAAATATTGCCTCTATTTAATATTGCTTTTCTTTGCAATGTTTTCTTAAGATTCATAGGGTTTGGATCTAAGATCCCCAAAGAATACCAGAAATCTTCATATGCCCAATCCATTACAGAAAATGACCTAATGTTTGCATATAACCTCTGTGCATCCTTTCATATAATTCACATCATCATCTCCAGATCACTTTTAATACCCACTATCATGTAAATGCTGTG